AACCTCAAACTCTTTGGGCTTACGTGATTCTCCTGCCTCAGCCTCCCAAGTAGCTGGAACTACAGGCACCCGCCACAACGCCTGGCTATTTTTTGGCTGTAGTTGTCATTACTGTTTGGCAGGCCTGGGGTGGGCTCAAACCTGCCACCTCCGGGGTATGTGGCTGGCACCCTAGCTGCTTGAGCTACAGGTGCCAAGCCTGGCTGGAGCTATTGTCACTGGGATTGCCAAGGGAATAGAGCAAAGACACAGAGTTGCCGATGGTCATCTTTGTCCTTCATACCAGAGGTGTGTGCCCAAAAGTAAAGCCAATGTAGAGGAAGTAGAGCTGAGGGACAGTGCTAACAGACTTCATTTCCATCCATGCTGCCCCTGTGCTCACAGTCCTAGCCCTGGCCTCTTCAGTTCCACAGGCCACTACTTCCTTTTAGCCTTTTGCCACTCTGGACAGCTATGCTGGCATTTCTACAAGCAGTGCAATCCTATGTATAGGTAGATTCCTCACAGAGCCAGGCCTGTGCACTCTGCCTCTAACTCTGAGCCACAGTGCAGCCAGGCCTAGCTATTGGCAGTCGGGGCCCCAGAGAGTAGGCTTGCATTATGGACTCTGGGACCTCTTCAGCTGATGACATACCCAGCTTCCTCTCCATGATGTAGAGGAACTGAGTCTCAACTGTGGAGCAGTGCCAAAGGGCACAGGATGCCATGGGCAGCTGAGGAGGTATAGTTGCTGGAGGTATAGTTGCTCCTTTTCTCCTAATCCTGCCACCAACTCCTCTGTCCTCAAGAAAGTCCCCCATACCATAGCTTTTATAACTGTCCCCATGGACTGCCTCATCCTCATAGATTTTTCTAATAACCACTTAGTCCCCTTATGTCCCCACAGCCCCTCATGTCCACACAGCCCCCTCAGGTCCACTCATTCCCTTCATGTACCCACAGTCCCTCACATCTCCATGGCTCCCTCACGTCCCCACAGCCCCCTCACATCCCCACAGCCCCCTCATGTCCCTACAGCCCCCTCATGTCCCCATGGCCCCCTCAAGTTCCCACAGCCCCCTCATGTCCCCATAGCTCCTCTCACCGGTTGTTGATCTTGTTCTTCTCGACTTGTTCACTCTGGCGCTGGTTCCACTCCTCCAGGTCCTTCTTAGCCTTCTCCCGCCACTCCTGTTCAGTCACCTTAGAGGCAGCATCTGTGACCCCACCAGGAGAATGAGAGGCAGCTTATCAGTTGCATGGCACAAGCGCAGCTACCCTGGCTGCTCCTCCCCTGGTGTCCACCAGACAGCCCAGGGCCACCCTCACCCAGTCCTATGGCGAGGTGGTGTGATGCTCCAGGAACCTGAAGGCCTCTTCACTCCACCCTTCACCGTGTCCTGCACAGCCAGCCCAGCTCCCGCCTCAACCTGCCCTCACCCAGCTCCTGCAGCCGTTTCCTCTGTTCCTCTCTCCACTTGCGGATGCTCTCAGGCTCCTGAGTCAGCCTGTCAGCCTGTGCAATCGCAGCATAGCCATTGGCAGGACCATTGGCCTCCTAGGAAAACAAACAGACAGCAGTGCATCCAGCGTGTCACGCCTGCCCTGTTCTGTCTGCTGACCCAGCTGGGGACTGAGTACCACAGCACACCGCACATCTGGATAACTCAACAGCCCGAAACCACCCCATACCCACTGTCTCCTGTGACCATACCATGTCTTTGCACCTGCTATTCCCTCTGCCAGCAATTCTCTTCCTGCTATGTGACCCTAGTTATTCAACTTCTCTGTGCCTGATCATTGCCTCTAGGATAGCCATATTCATCTATACCCCACAAGCAGGAGACTCAGGAAACTGTGTGTCAGCCATGTTCTTCATCATAAAATGGGCTAAGTAATACTACACATCCCAGAGGGTTGATAGAAAGATTCAATGAGTTAAAAAAAATACAAAGAACTTAGAAAACTTGGCACACAGTGAGTCCCTTGTGTTACTATGAATAGCGTCAGTTTCTGTTATAGCTGTATTAACTCATGACACTTAGTCTGAAAAGACCTCACTTTATAATGTGTGTATTTGTCCATTGTCTGCCTCCTGCTTTGGAATGTCATCTTTGAGACAGCAGGGACCTTATCCATTCTGTTTACTTCTGTGTCCTCAGAGCCCAGCACAGTGCTTGGCACATAGCAGATGCTCAATGGACATTTGCTGAACAGACAGGCCACCCTGAGTATACAGGATGGCCATGGCTAAGATCATTACATGGTGGAGAGTGTGGACTCTCCAGCCAGGCTATCTGGGTTTGGGTCCTGCTTCTGATGCTATGAGATGTGTGTACGGCCTGGGGCAAGTTGCTTCACCCTGTCTGGCTTCTCTTTTCTCACTTGAAGATAGGAGTAATAGCAAGATGACTTCTAAGAGAGGCTGTTGTGATTTATGCAACAATATTTGTAAGAGATAATATTTGTAGAAGAGTTCCTGGCATGGAGTAACAGCTCGGTTAATGGTAGCTAGAATGATTACTATTATTATTCATTCCCATTTTACAGGGGTGAAAACTGAGGGCAGGAGAGATGGCACAACATAGTGACAGTGCCTCTGACTCCCAGGCAGGGGTTCTGCCTGCTTCCTCCCACCACCTGCCAGAGCTGGAGACTTGAAGCACTGGGAATTGTGAGCTCAGCTCAACAATGGTATGACACTCTCTGTTCTCCAAAAGCTGGAGCCCCTTTCTGATCCAGCCCCAGGTCCTGCCACACCCTCTCTGGCACTCTGCGCCCTACACATTCCTGTCTGCAGGCATCCCACACTCCAGCTGCCGCCACTTTGTCTCTCGGTGCTTTTGGCCTTCAATTGTCCCCCCTCCCTGCTTTAGCTGGGAGATCTTTCACCCTCCCTCAAGTTTCCAGCTCAAGGGTCACTAGCTCAGGGATATTTCCCAGTCCCCCCAAGCACATTTGATGCCATTTCCTCTCTGTCCTCCCTGTCACCACTTTCTCTACCTTTAACTGTAAGTCTCCCCCAAGAAACATGAGCTCCTGGTGAGCAGGGTCATTCTTTGTTTATAGCCTCCGAATCCGTTCTATTCCTTTGGAGCTCCCTGTCCTCCTCCTCCAAGCATTTATCAAACCTGTCACAAATGCTATGTTATTTGATGTCTCCTCCCCATGGGACAGTGTTTGGCATACCCTCTGTCCTATGCTGCCCATCCCTGTACTCAGCATATAGAAGGTGCTTAGTAAGCAGAGATTGAATGAGGGAAGATCCCTAAAGCCAGAAGGTGCCTGCTTCAGAGTAGAGGCTGGGCAGAGGACATGTGTGGGAGCATGTAGATGGAACATCAGGGCCACTGACTCCAGCTGCTGGGGAGTAAGGGAAGGGCAGGCCCAGGACAGGGTGGTACAGCCTGGCACTTGGGATCAGACCCAACGCCTGGGTGGGGCAACCAGGGTGTGGCCCTTACGCCTCTTCCTGCACAGCATTACACTTCAATTTAGAGACTCTCCCAACATCCCAAGAGGCCTTTCCAGGATTTTATTTTCTTCACAGCACTTAACTCTATCCAAAATGATTATTTGTTTCTATGTTGACTGTCTCCTTGCTCTAAGAAAGTTACCTTTATGAGGTCAGAGAAGTTAAAAATAAAAGTAAAATGAAAGACTTGTCGGGCAATGCCCGTGGCTCAGTGGGTGGGGACCGGCTCCATATACCGAGGGTGGCGGGTTCAAACCCGGCCCCGGCCAAACTGCAACAAAAAATGATCAGGTGTTGTAGTGGGCACCTATAGTCCCAGCTACTCAGGAGGCTGAGGCAGGAGACTCGCCTAAGCCCAGGAGTTTGAGGTTGCTGTGAGCTGTGACACCACAGCACTCTGCCAAGAGTGACAAAGTGAGACACTGTCTCTAAAAAAAAAAAAAGAAAGAAAAAAAAGAAAACCTTATCGTCTGACCACCACCTAATCCCCACTCCTTTAGCAAACAGGTGCTGAGCCCTTTCTCCATGCTAGCCCACATGGGTGTCCAAGAGGCATCTCAGCTTTCACTTGACTTTTCGCTCCCCCACCATCTTCCCCCATCTCAAGAAAAGGCACTTCAGCATCCACTTGGTTGCTGAGGCCCAAACCTCATGTTTGTTCTAGATTTCTCCTCCTTATCCCACTTGGAAGCCACAGCACCTCCTGTTACAGTTCTCTAAAACATGTGCCCGATCAGATCATTTCCTACCTTCTTCCCTGGAAGCCCTTGCTGCCTCTGCTGTGGACCACACTGCTGGTCTCCATGTAGCCCCTTCTTCATCATAGCCTAAATCAGATCTATCATGTCAAGCTTTAAAAGCATCCAAAGGCTCCCTACTATGATTGGAATACAATTCAAGTGATCTGTCTCTCCCTGGTCCTCTGATTTCTGTTCTTGACCCATCCACTCTTGCCATATGAGTCCTTAAGCAAGTTCATCTTTGTGTCCCCTTGGGGTCTCTATCTCAAATCTAGGGCCTACATCTTCCTAGGACTTCCCCATCTTCTGACTGAGGCCTGAGCTCTGAGAGAGCCCCCACCCCCAACATGACCACCTCTCTAAGCAATTATTGGATTTTCTTTTCTTCATAGCTCTTAATCACTCTCTGAAATGACTGGTTTATTTACATGTTTACTACCTGTCTCCCCCTTGTCCCCCCAAAAGTAAGTAAGCTCTACAAGGACAGAGACTGCCTGTCTCCCCATAGCAACTGGGACAAGGAGGGCCTGGCTGCAGGAGGATTTCAAGAATATTTGTTGAGGCTCGGCGCCTGTGGCTCAAGTGGCTAAGGCGCCAGCCACATACACCTAAGGTGGCGGGTTCGAATCCAGCCCGGGCCCACCAAACAACAATAATGGCTGCAACCAAAAAATAGCCAGGCGTTGTGGCAGGCGCCTGTGGTCCCAGCTACTTGGGAGGCTGAGACAGGAGACTCGCTTGAGCCCAGGAGTTGGAGGTTGCTGTGAGCAGTGAAGCCATGGCACTCTACCCAGGGGGACAGCTCGAGGCTCTGTCTCAAAAAAAAAAAAAAAAAAAAGAATATTTGTTGAAGGGCAGCACCTGTGGCTCAAAGGAGTAGGGTGCTGGCCCCATACCCTGGAGGTGGCAGGTTCAAACCCCACCCTGGCCAGAAATTGCAAAAAAAAAAAAAAAGAATATTTGTTGAATGAATTCAATAGATGTTCAACTTGGGGACAGGGGTGAACAAGACAGTCCATATCCCAGGAGCTTGGAAGGTGGGGTCCCTCGCAAATGACAACCATGGCTGGGGAGCTTGCTGCAACACGGGTCAGGTAAAGAGGAGGACAGGGTACAGGGAGGGCATGACCATTCCTGCCCAGGAGCAGAGGAGAGTGCCTAGGGACAAGGAAAGGGCATTCTAGGCCAGGAACCAGCGTGTGTAAGGATCACATGTGCCTTTGGGAAACCGAGTACACAGATGCCACCAGATGTGAGAGGGGATGCAAAGGGAGAGGTGGGCTGGAGAAGGCCCTGGGGTAGGAATCTCCTTCTGTTTGCATCCTTCAGGGTTCATCTCCATAAAGCCTGACCTAAAATGAGACTCCAGAGAACTTGCAATTAAATGGTTTTCTTTGATCTTTACAACTCTACATGGTGAGTTTTATTATCCTTATTTTATAGGTATGGAAACTCCAGTTCCAAAGCACCAAGGTCTCCCAGCCAGGAAATGGCAGAGCCAGGATTCACTCTGAATTAGTGAGTGTGAACAGATTCAGTACACAGTAGCTAACAGGGACCAAAGTCACTTCTGTAACAAAGGACTGAGTATCTACTTACTGTTGCCCTGTGTCCAACTCCTCCAGTTTACTTATGCCCTATGCCCCACATCCCTCTGTCACAGCCCACACACAGCACACCTCAGCTCACTTAGGAGGTGAGGAATTTATAAGGTGCTTCCAGGGCTACAAAGCACTTTTTCTCAACAGCGCTGCGGGATGGCAGGGCAGGGCTTCTACTCTCCATCCACAAGTGAGAAATCATGCTCAGAGCACTTCAATGACTAGTCCAAGGTCATACAGCTGGGAACAACCAGGAAATGAAGCCCAGATTTTCTAACTCCATCCAAACTTGCTCACAGACTGCAGTCGGAGTGCAGAAATATCCCCGAGGGGACATTCAGTCCCCAAATCAATGCATCATTCAGTGCATCCCCACAGCACCTGATACTGAAAGGTAGCCAAGCCCCAGGCCTAGGGTACAAAGCCTGGCCAAACTGAGACCACCTCCTCCCCCACATGCCCACCAGCATCAGGGGCCACAAACACCCATGTGTGGCCCTCCCTTGCACCCTCCCTCCTGCCTCTCCAGGTCTTCTGGCACATTCCTTGTGTGAAAGTCCCAGGCTCTGGGTGAGCCCTGCACTGGGTAACCTGTTCTCCGTGCCTTTGCACATGCTGCTCCCTCAGCCAGGACCACCCCCTACCCCCTAGGCAGTCTTGAAACTCCTTTCTGGCATCCTCTCCCAGTTGCACCTCCTGATTTTAGTGTAGGCACCTGAGCCTGAATTTTCTCTTCCTAGCT